GTCCGCCGCGGGCCCCGCGGCCGCCGCCGCCGGCCGCGTCGCCGGCAGCGCCGGCTGGGCGCCCTGGGTTGGCGGCGCGCCAGGCCGCCTCGGCCTCGTCGTCTGAGAAGTAAGCCTCACCGTCGGACCCCACCTCCGCATCGTCAACACCAACACCCGCAGCGCCGCCCGCCCGCACGCGCGCAGCCCCGCCGCCGCCGCCGCCGCCGCCCCTGGCGCCGCCGTACGCCTCCCGCGGGTCGACGCGCTCCGCCAGGCGGTCCACCGTGAACACGCGCGCGCCCGCCACCAGGCCCGGCGGCGGGCCGGCCGCGCCGGCTGCGGCAGGCTCGCGCTCGCCCTCGCCCCCGGCCCCGCCCTCGGCCCCACCGTCCGGGCCCGCTGCCCCGCCCTGCGGCGCCGGCTTGAGCTGCTGCGCCTCGTAGCGGAACGCGTAGAGCGGCTGCGTCACCGGCCCAAACACCTCCTCCACGCGGCCGACCGGGCAGCGGTCCTCAAGGAGCAACACAGACCTGGTGATGGCGGCCAGGCGTGTGGGGCAGGCAGGGGGGCCGTGAGCACGCCCGCAAGACAGCCCAGGGCGCAGTGCGGCGACAGAGCTGCTCCCCGCATGCAGCGGGCTTGCGCAGGTGTTCTACAGGCGCGACCAGCCCCCGCTGCCCAGGCGGTTCACTGGCCCCTCCACCCCTTCCTGCCACCCCGGCCTCCAGCGCCCCCTGCACAGCACAAGGGACCGCTGCGATTCCCCGCCCTGCGTACCCCTCCGCGAGCGCCGGCATGTTGATCAGCCCCTGCACCACCGCCATGTCCTCCACCACGGCCGTCACGTTGCCTACGTGCACCAGAGGGTCGGACGCCTCCACGCGCACGCCCTCCAGCGAGGGCGCGCCCTCGCGCAGCCCCAGCGACTCGTGCAGCGCGCGCGGGCCGCCGCCCCCACCGCCGCCGCCGGCCTCGTCATCCTCTTCGTCAATGACTGCGTAGGCCGCGTCGATCATGCCGCGCATCTTCTCGTAATCCAGCGGGCCCTCGGCGTCCGCGGCGCCGTCGTCGCCCGCGTCGCTGCTGCTGTCGCTGCTGCTGTCGTCGCTGCTGCTTGGCAGCGGGCTGCTGTCCTCCTCGACCTCGGGGCCTGCGGCAGCGGCTGCGACCGCCGCCGACGGTGCCACAGATATGGACAACCGGATGCCGCCGCCGCCGTCGGGGCTGGCCTGCAGCAGGACACGGACGGCCGGCTCCTGTTGCTGCTGCCCGTCCTGCCGCGGCCCGTCGCCCTCGACGTCCTCCATGTCCTCGTCCTCTTCACTGCTGCTGCTGTCGCCGCTGCTGCTGTCCTCGTCGTCACTGCTGCTGCTGCTCTCCCCTGCAAACGCCTCCATCGCCGCAGCTGCTGCGGCCGCCGCCACCTCCAGGTCGTCGACGCTGGGCAGCTCAAAACCAGAAGCGTCCCCATAGGCCTCTTCCGGCGCAGCTGCTTGTTGTGTGAGCATGGCAGCGAGGCAGGTGCGGTGAGCTCGCTGCCGGGCAACTTCAAACCGCCACGCAGCACTGAGGCACCATCGGCCGCCGCAGCAAGGCTGCGATGATGCTGCGGGACGGTAAGCAGGCTCCACGGCTCATGCTCACCTCTGGACCTCGGGCTACCCATTACCACGTCCATGTCACTCGCAGCGACCCCAGCAGCCATCGCTGCCAAGCGGAGATCGCTCATGGCACCGCGGCGCGACGTACAATATGGTGCCGTATGTTAAGAGAGTAGGCAGATTCATAAGGGCCGGGGTCGCTTGTACGCAACCGTGGGCTGTAAACAGTTCCGCAGACGACTGGCGCCAACTGGGGGTGACAGTGACGACTGTACTGTACTTGTGCTGCGCGTGCTGCCCCCCAACTGTCGCAGATGCAGGCGCATCGCAATTTCACTCCTGCAATACATCCGCGCAAGAATCAAATCCTACAGCAGGCAAAGTGCATGAAGCAGTTGCTTGCAGGCAAGGTTCTTGAGATAAGGACAGCCGCTCAGATGATGCAGCTCTTGCGGTGCAGGGCTCCATGTCAAACCGCGGCTCGGCATTGGTGGCACGGCTGCGACGCTTGTTGCGTCGCTGGCCACGGGCAGCTGTAAGGTGTGGGGTTGCAGGACAAATAGCTTTTCATGCAGCTGTTGAGCCAGGCTGAGCAAGCTGTGCCCCCATCGGAGGTGCGCACTCATTATTGATGCTGTTGTGCATGAATGTTGGTGCCCGCTGAGCAAGCAAATATGGTAGCAGCACCAGCTGCATGAGGCACGCTTGCTAGCGCGCGCCTTTCACATGCACTGGGCGAGCCAAGCGAAAGTAGACGCGCATAGGCACGCGCAAGTAAAGCGGCAAGCGGCAATTCGTCCTTTTCGTACACCAAAGTCCCTTTCTCAAAAAGGCTGGCTGCTCCTTCCTGGTTCAACCATTGTGGTGTTGGGGCTGGCGGTGTTCTGTAATGCTGGCTGCTTACCTGCAAAGGAAGGTCAGCTTCAAAGTGCAAAGTGGCGGTGTGCCAGAAAATGGGTTATCTCTTTGGGTCAGCACCTGCATAAGGGCGCACACATAGGTTGCACCCAGGGCAGGGTCCGACAGGGTTGCGGCGTCCTGGGCTGCATGCGTGGGCGTACGCATCGCATGCCGCACTCTCCCAAGGTCACAAAGCCTACATAAGCGAGTCTGTCAAACACAGGATACAGGATTTTCCATGTAGGGCACATGTACATACTTGCGTACCTTGAGCACCAACATAATGCACACGTCTCACTGTCCCGCGCATGGCACTGCCCAAGCTTGCACGGTCATGGAATGACCGGTGCCGGCAGCAGGTGACGGTGTGCATGCATTCACGGGCTTGAATCGAACACTGTGGGCCAGGTGTTGCGCACCTACTTCTGATACTGTCAAAATATTGTTACAAGTGTGTCCCGCTTGAAGTGCTTGGAGGCTGCCCTCGTACGTACACAACAGACGATCGTGGGCCACTATTGTCAAGCATCCCTTTGCTGATTCGTAACGAGGTTGTGACTTGTTCTGCGCTGCTCGGTACCGGGTGGGCAACACATGCCTGTTGACGGAGCTTGGACCTCGCCGGACAACTGTGAACCACCCCGCGGCCAAGTTGATGCAGTCCAGGCATGCCTGAATCGCTCGTGACAATCTCTTGCACAATCGCATAACGTGCATGTGGGCCTGAGCGCGCAGCTGGCGGGAACCACGACAGCGCAAATCACTGCGCAGCAGCAGCAGCACTCACGCAAGGCGCGTCCAGCCAGCTGGGACAGCTTGGCAGACTCCGGCAGCCAGGATGTCCTCGCGCGTCAAGAGCGCCGGCCCGCGCGCCGGCGACGCCACACGCAAGCCCTCATATCAGTATTGGGCGCAGGGGGCACAGGAGAAAGCTGCCGCGGGACAAGCACGGGTGCAGGCCGGCCTTGCCATCTGCAAGCACCTGAGAGGCGATCACATGGCAGGGCTCGGGGCAGGCTGCGACGGCGGCGGCAGCAGGTGGGATTGTGACCACGAGCGCGGCGTCGACGACCGAGAGACAGAAGAGCGCAAGCTGCGCAGCAGCAGCGGTGCTGCCAGGGCAGCTGCCGGCCATGCGGGCAGCCGGGCAGACAGCGACATAGACAAATCCGAGGATCAGCAAGAAGAGGGGACAAGTGATGATGATGATGATGATGATGATGATGGTGAGG